AAAATCGGTCAAAAACGACCGACCCGAGGTGGACCACTGTTGGAGCACAGCGGAGCCGCCGTGCTGGATTTTTGAAATTGGCCGAGTGGGTCCTGGGACTGATTTTGGATTTATTTAGAACATTTGTAGGTATTATAAGTGCGTTTCAGTTCCCGAAGAAAAATTCTGGGAACCTTGGAACCACTCGTAGGCACAGTAAACCATTTAATTTTTCAACATCAAATCGAGTAAGGATCGCTCACCCTATTCTCTATCATATAATTGAAGTCTAAATAAATAATAATATGGTATTTTGTACAAATTAAATGAATGTGCATAATTAATTACGGATTACTAATGGAACCCGAGCCGAAAATTATTCTCTATTTATCTATTTCATAGTTTAAAAGCATGATAGTGTTTGATTATTTTATTTTATAGTTTGAATGCATGTATTGTTGTCTTATGTGACTACTGTTTAATTAGAATTTGAGATATGATTGCATTACCTGATGTATGTTTATTTATTTATGTGATTATGTTTGATTTGGTAATGGAGACTAGGCTGAAAAAAGAAAAAGTTGTGTGATCAAATAAGCAAATGGAACGGCAGCCTTACTAGATATCCTGGAAGATGGTGAACGGACTGGGTATATAGGGAACCCTACCGTGAACGTTGTCTCCTACCGGATGGGGTATGGAGACTTGAAAATTTGTCGTTCATACCGAACGGGGTATGGAGACGGCCCTATAATTGAAATTATTAAAAGAAAGGGCTTACGTATAGCGAGGACATCCCTATGAACCCCCATGGATACTAGTAGGCTGGTAAAATAAGAAACAGTTAAGATTTAGTTTATTATTAATAGATATGAATTTATGATATGTTCTATGTTACTGATTGTTCATGAAGTTATGATTTGTATGGTATTATTGTCTCTATAGGTTGTTTTCATAAATTCTACTATGATAAGTGAACGGTAAATAATTTTATGATTGATAAATGAATTTGCTAAATTTAGTGCTCCGTTAGTTGTTTTGATTTTATACCAACATTTGATTCTTTGCCGGTAATATGGTGTGATATCCTTACTGGTCTAGTGTAGCTCACTCTTTATTTAACCATTTAAGATTAAGAGGATCTGGTTCCAGAACCTGATCCGCAAGAAGATTACGAGTAGATGCTAGATATTTTCTATTTTTCATTACTTTTCTCATTTATCGTGTTTCTTTCAGAGAATTAATTTCAAAATGTTGTTTAGTGCTTTTAAGTTATTGTGTAAGGAATGTAAATCTTAACCTTTTATTTCGCTTCCGCACTTAAATTATTATATATTCTCTTTTAGATTTCTGGGATCGTTACACAACCATCATGTAGATGTGATATGCTTCCATCAATATGTACAATATTTATGTATGTGCTTCTATCAATATGTATAATATTTATGTACGTGGTATTATATTTATAATATTTTTATATACTTTAAACGCATTTAAAGTATATAATAAAAACATGTAACTTATTATTTTGTAAATATATTATGAAGTAATGATAATCAACAAATAATACTTAATTTAGTAAAATTAATTATTTAACTTATTATTGTATTGTGAAAATTGCAGTTGCTAAATTTGGTTAAAATTTTGTGAATTTATTACTGTTATTAAATAAAATAAATACTAGGTGACGGTTAAATTTCTATAATTAGGATAGCAATAAAATAAAAACCTAACATGACATTTTTTTAATTAAAAAATACATTTATATATATAATTTTACGAAAGTAGTTGTGCACAACATGTATAGAATGATGAAATAACAAAACAATGAATAAATTAAATGACTCACTCAATCTTGAACCAAGAACACACTTGCAATATCTAAATTAATGCATCATAAAACTATATATTAATTTTATAACTATACAAATATTATGATATTTATCTATATATGTTTCCTCACTAATTTTCCGATGCCTACATCCTAATTTATCTAAATTAATGCATCATAAAACTATATAATGATCGTAAGTGTGTGTATGTATTTCATTGTTTGTTCATCCTCTGGTGCCCCTTCACTGTAATTTAATTTTTGGTTTATTTTAAAATAAAATCATGTACTTTATTATGTAATAATTTACTACTTTAATATTATCTCAATAGACAAAATAAATAAACATATATCATTTTAGTTATCAACACGAACAATTTTTTTATTTTGAAGATTCTTATGCAATTATTGATAAATAAATTAATTATTTGCCTAAGTAAATGAGAAAATTTATAATTTTTTTTAAAAAAAAAAATATGAAATTTTAAATCACAAAAAAAAAACTTTTAAATTATCGTAGTGTTAATTATAAAACATCGAAGAAAAAAACCCGTAAAATAGATCATAAAATATTTTAAAATACATGAAAAAAAATATATAATTTTTAACTAAACTATAAAGGACATTAATAACATTAATGTTAATAGCTGAAGCCTGGATGTGCTACTGAGTTGAATTGTGCCTACCATAACTTAGTATTTGCACAATAATTGAATCAAATTTGGTCAAAGTCAATATATAAGAATAAGAATAATTGATACTGGACATAATAACATTGTCTAATCACAACGGTTATTGTTGTTTTATAGAATTTAATTGTCATTATGAAATATGTTATTATTTTATTTCTATTAGTGCTTCTTTAAAAAATATTTGCTGTTCTAATAAAGTAAAATAATTTTAAAATATGATATTAGTATATATTTAAAGATAGAAAATAAGTAAACACCAATTTTCCCCTTGTTCTTTTTGTTTTTTTTTGTTTTTTTTTTTTGAGGGAGCAAATTATCATCTTTATACTACTTCTGTGGTATTGACTATTAAACACTATGAAAGTTGAATCATACTGTTATTTAGTTCGTATATATGGGTATGTATGTATGTATGTATGTATGTGTGTGTGTGTGTGTGTGTATATATATAGAAGCATATACATAATATATTAATATTAATAGGTTAGTAGCTTGTGCTGCAGTGTTCCCCATATCCTCCACACAAATTCATGTCCAAGCCGAAGTAGCAGAGTCGTGGAGGCCTTTTCAGGAGCATAAAAAGTAAATGAAAGTGATGTTATTTATTTATTTATGGTGATGTGATCCCTTTTTTTTTTTTTTGAAAGACGTTTCTTAGATTACCATTTTGGTTCCAACCACATATCAGACATTCCCATTTGCTCCCACTTTGCTGATTCTTTAATTCTCTTCTCATTTTCTTCACATCACCTTTAATCTAAACTTCACTCATCATATATATATATATGTTATATGTAATAAATCAAAATATTTGAGTTAAAACAACCCAGAAACTTGGTTGAGATAGGAAATTAAGTTGGATTGAGAAAGAGGGAAGATGTATGTGTAAAATGAAGAGGATGAGAAACATTCCCTGGATAGAGACAGTGGGTAAAAGTAGTATATACATATATTTTGTGTGTGTATAGATAGAATCTTTAGGGTGAGAGAGAGAGAGAGAGAGAGAGAAAGGGGACCATCATCTTTTGCTCCCCCTTGTTACCAGGGACGTTTTGTCTCTGAATGTCTGCCCTAAAATCTCTCTTCACCAACCGTTTTCCTCCTCTTCAATTACCCTTTTTTTTTTTTTAAACCATTAGTGGTGCATTATATTATTATTATTATTATTATTTCCCATAACCTATATATCTATATGTTCATCTTTATTTTAAAAAAATAAAATTAATGTTTTGAGAATTTATGAACTTCAGAAATTCTTAACCCGACATTTCTCACCCGTTCTAATATGATCATACAATGGTATCCATCTTTTTTGTTTCCGCATTACTTTTTAAACTTCGAATTCACCAGCTAATTTATTGTATTATTTTCTATCATCCAACCGCTATTAACTAGACTCAGTATAATATATAATTCATTTTTATCATTGCAGATAAAATAAATAATTACACAATAAAGGATAATATAATTATTTTAATAAAAACACATGTTACGATTAGAATCAACAGCTTCATAAAATATATATATATATAAACATCCACCATCTTGTTTGGAAATAGTTGATAAAATACAGATTTATTAATGTAGAATTGTACAAATAAGTTAATCAGTGTGAAGTTTTTTAGATGGAACATCAATTATACAAAATAAAACTGAACTCTATCTATTAAATATTAATCACCATTTACGACAGAATAAATTTTTAACTTGTTCTAATTGCATTGTGGTAGCAAATGTAATAGGGGGGAAGGTGTAGAGACAAGGCAGAAAGATTTGGTGGTAAGGGAACAGAGTGTGTGTGTGTGTAGGCTGGCCAAATCACAAGTCATTTTCATTTTAATTGCATGTCAAAGTCAACACTGCGATCAAGAATGTTTAAGTTTAGCCATTAAAATGATCTAGAAACTAGTTACTTCTCTGCTTCCAACATAGCATGTCTTCCGCCTCATTCATTAATGCCTTTTTAACTCATTTCTGAAACCATACCTAAATCTCAAATTCAGAAAATTATAGTTTTCTTGTTATGTTGTTATATAAGAAGAAACTAACATATTTTGTAACTAGTTAAATTCTTGTCAAATTAAAATGTATCGTATTGTTAAGAATAAAGTGATGTGATTATAACTTACTAAAACTATCAACTCTTGTGTCACCATGAACAGCAGAATACAAACACCTGTATTGTGTTCGACTCCATCTATTACCACTAAAATTTTGGCCAAGAATATTTTCAGATAAAAAAAAAAAAAAAACAACACCAAATCTATGCCCTAGAGAGGTATAATAGTTACTTACGGATATTACTAGAGAAATCACCACTTGATGGATTTGGTATCAAATTATCGAAGTTTGTTGATTTTCACGGCTTAAATGGATGGAATAAGTTAAATTCAGAAACGTATGAACGATTAATTCTTGAAAACTAAAAATAGGAAATGATGAGCAATCAAAAGCACCAAAAAAATATGTAAGTCAAACTTAAATCCTTGTTGCTTTACTTTATCATCAAGATATGTCATATACCTGAAGGGAATAGTAAAACAATAAGAGCAGCTCGAGAGTGCTTAAAAATTAATTTGGTAAACAGAAATAACATTTTAAGATAAAATTTATATTACAAAAGCATGCATCATAATGAAGAAATAACAAGTAGCCACACTTAAAGCCAGGTGGGCGGGCGTGTAATGAATGGGAACAGGCATTCACAGATCACAAAGAGGATAAGTATAAGCTTCATGCACCACGAACCAGACCCTTTTTACTTCAGTCCAGATATTTATGGAACATTTATTTGACAGGAACCGAATAGGTATGCTTCAGTTTATGGAAGTAAGATTTGCACCTCTGTGCTAAACCAAACATGCCTAGAGTGCCCCCGGTGTGAAGCATCAAAATGTTGGTATCATTTTCTGAGTTTGTTTGACTAAGGAGACTTGCTGTTTCCCACGCAGCTAAAGTATAAATTGGATCCACTAGAATACCGGTTTGCTGCGATATCTGTTGGCACGCCTCTATTTCACCTTCAAGTACATTGCCAAATCTTTGGAGAGAGAGAGAGAGAGAGAGAGAGAGAGAAAGAGATCAGTCTGTTAAACCAAACAAATGCAATTGAAACTAAATATATTAAAGAAAATACATACTGACACAGACGTTGAAGATTCAAAGTTAACAATGTCTTCTGAACTACTGCTTTTACAGGATCATCTGAACCAATATCCTCTCAATTTCCATTCAAATGGTGAAACTACCATATTGCAAAATCTAATTGTTAAAAATGCAATGCCTTTTTATCTTTCTGTAGTTAATGCATCTGAAATTTATCTGGAACTGAAGTATCTGTTCTAGTTCATGCTTTGAATAGATAGAGGAGTTTAGAGCAACAAAAATTATGCAAATAAGTCCTAGATATTAATAATCATGACAGCAACAACAAAATTCACATACTTTCTTGGGCGCTGCCTTTCTACCCAGCATACAAGATCACTATTTACTTCATTCAGCTTGTGGTTGATATAAGGAGAACAAAATTGCCTCTTAAAATCAGAAATCAAGCGCTTTTCATGTTGTCTGTAGCCTTCGACGTTATCAGCCAGCATTACTGCAGTTACATCCCATAAGAGCCTAAGTAGGGAAAAAAATATAAAACACCATCAGCTGCTTTTGCTGTCATGTCCTAGAACTCAACCAAGAGGAGCTGTAATAAGCAGTTCAACAGACCCTAAACATTTAGCTGCAAGAGCTAAACCAACTGCTGTTGTCCCGGTGCCAGCATCTACAACAAATTTGAAGGTGTGCTGTTTTCCAAGTAAATGATCTTGGGCCAAGTACTGCACGAGACGGAAGACACCTGCACCAAGAACATGTATCATGAGTAAAGCTATTCTAAAATAGCACAAAACAACTTAAAACAAGAATAATCAACAAAGATAAGATTAAGACTGACACCAGTTTGCTTTCACTTGCAAAACTTTCAATGCTTTTATCAATGGGCTAGGATATATATTTCAGTTGCAAAACACATAAGCAGAAGTCTAAATAACCAACACTTTGTTCCAAGTAGCTATTGCAAAAGAACAAACAGGAAAGATGATAAGACCAACTCTAGAAAAGACAAAATGATTCTACAACGATGCTACATAACCTTATTTTGTCCAATGGACCTAATTCCAAAATATGATCACAAAGTCATTTTAAACAAAAGCACCAATTCTCAATTACCTAACAATGCTATTGCCTCCCCTGCTCCTTCATTAACAATAACAACCTTTCTTTGACAGTTGCTAGAAACAGTATAAGCATCCATATATGCAAAGTTTGAAGTCCCAGATTTCTGAGAAGTAAAAGAAGCCTCAAGGACGTCATTGCACCACAAGACATTACCATTATCCCCAGCAATCATTTCAGCATGGCTCTTTAGCATTTTTTCTCTGTGGGAATAGACAGATCTTGGAACATATATGACATTCCCATACATTGTTGAAACCAAATTATAGCCAGTAAGAATTTCTGGCTGTTCACCACGTAGTAACAAATGTGACCTTAATCCTCTCTCTGCACATGAAACAGCTGCAAAAATCGTGAAGTGGTTATTTGGATGTCTTTATACAGTCAGTTTCGCTAAATTTCGTGAAGAATTCACCTACCAACAGATGCTGCATGTGCACTTTGACAACCTCCACATGTAACCTAGAAAAGGTCAGCTGAATTATTCGTCCCTAAACCGATAAACAACTTTCCTTGATATTTTACAACAAATATTAAACAAGCACAATCACCAGTGGTATGGCTGAGACCGATGACATCGTTGAATCCAGCCAGGAGATTTCTTGTGCCTATAATGAACCTAGCAGAACATACATATCCGTTCTAATTCTACAGGATATCACATCCCCCTCAAAGATCCACCCAAGGAATTCAACTAAAACTGAGCTTAAGGTGCCAGAAACATCTGCTAGATAACAATTCACCAGACTGCAATCTAAGTCTGTTATTACTCTATACTCTGTCATGGAACAAATTATCTTTGTAACTCCATATGCTTCTAATGGAAACTTACAGTAATCCAATGCTAATCATCATAAAAATGCCAAACCAAAATATTGTCAGCTCAAGTAACCCAAGCAAACCCTTATAAGTATATTTTAGGCGTGGAACTAAAATGTAGACCGAATGGTTAGTTCAGTACTTGGTAGGGCCAAGTTAGAATTTATCGTTGTTTCATAGCATTCCCACTCTTGTGATTGGGTATAAATAGGAACTGTAACAACTGAAGGACCATACCAGAAATTCAAATTCTCCCTCCCTCTCTTCTTCTTTTCTCTCAATTCACTCTCTTCTCTCTTCTCTCTTCTTTTCTCTCAACTCACTCTCTTCTCTCCTCTTTTCTACTCTTCTTTTCTCTCTTCTCTTCTTAATCTTACTAATTCCACTGCTGTAAATCAACTCGTCAAAGCTAAATGACCAAGGCTCTTGACAAATACCTAAATGTCAATTAATATGGATGGCCCCTATTCAAGCTATAAACAACTATTTGTAATTTACGATCTCAGTTTCTAGATATAAACAAATATAAAACCTCACCACATCAGTTACTGAGTGGTCTTCCATAAGTGGTAGCAATGCATCCAGTTTTCTTGCTTTGTTGCCGTTCACAAGTGGATGCAGTAAATCATCCCTCAGAATATAGAAAAAAGGATCTTGATTGGGGCCTATCAAGTTATTACCAAGGCTTGGACGAATATTGTTGAAGAAGGAAAGGTTACGAAGTGGTTCACCTCTAACTTTCCCTTTCATATCAGAGAGCATTATTTGGTGAATTTCAGCTGCAGGACTGACCAATGCCCATCTTCGATCAAGCAATTTTGATACGAACTCTTCCCCACTGAGTTGGGATTTGGAAACACACTGGAAATGATACAGAAACAACTGTTCAACCGAGTGTTGGAACTCACAAAGTCATCATTAATGAATAAAAAAATGCCTAGATATTGCTAATATTCACAGTATTCATCTGAGGTAATGCTTAAGGCAGTGGAACAGGCAGGTTCATGCTACAACACTATCTCGAAAGAAGAAGAGATTAACAAAAACAAAAATTTCCTGTGCAATGTACAGATTCACAAGTAGAAGACATTGTTAAAGCATTAACTTTGTTCCCTTGAGTTGCTATTGTAGGACATGCGGACAGTGAAGGGATAAGATCCATACAACAGCAAGCAAGACTAATGAAGGAAATGCAAAGACCATTTTGCCAATAAAGAAGCTCTACAAAGTAGACTAATATTAATTGATAACAAAAATGGCAATTGAGAGAGAACCTGATAGATGGTATGGAAATTGGGCGAATGTATGCTATTTCTGCTCATGGTTGCTGCAAAAAGGGGGGTTGGTGGCTCCTTGTTGAAGTTTCATGGGAGCAGAGTTTCTGCAAGCTTTAGATCTCAATGAACTCTGGCTATGAAATCAGCAAAAAACTCTAGACAGCAGAAAATCAAAACGGATAGAAACAGAGTCCATGTACTTGCTAACTATAAATTTAATATGTAAATCTAACATTTTGCATAATTTCTCATGAAACCTCATATTTAAATAAAATAAATTCAGCAAAAGAAGGAAAACTTACAAAGATTACATACAGACAGAAGAGAAAGAAGGGAAAGGAACTTTCAATTGAAAGACTAAAGATGTACATTGGCAATCACTGAATGGTTTCTTAGTTCAAAACCTGATTTGAGTGTCCCAAAAAAAACATAGAGAACATAAAAAAGAAGCATAAGAACTAGGAGTAGGAGGAGGTAGGAGATTATACAAAAATCTGCAGGATGGTGCAGAGATAGAGAACTACTGAGGTTCTAGTTGCTTACATATAACACAAGTATGTAAATCTCATGAAATTCACAAGTCAGCCCAAATGTACATGTAAAATATGTACATGAAAACCATTGAATATTGCATAAAAGACAACAAATTTCATATATGAAACATCAAACAACAACCTGGAAACATAAGACCATGGCCAACTCTCCCTGAGCAATAACAAACATGAAAAACCTACAGCTACTGATAAATATAACCAATTCCAAAGATTAAAAATCAGGAACCTCCGCCAACTGGCCTACACTTACCTAAAGCCCTATTTTTCTGGTTATAATATATCAGACTAGTTACACCAATACATAAAAATCACTTTTAAAAACCTGGATTCCTAATAAATCGCTTAAAAAATAGGAATCATTTCAATCAGAACCATCTGTCTGTTCATTATGAGACTACAATGTGGTATGTTCACATGCATATACAGAATTTAAGTTACCAGAAGCACCCTTAAACAGCCCTGAAAGAGGCTGAAAACTTTACCTTGTTCAACCAGCAAATGAATCAAGTCTGAATAAATAATTTATTTCCAAAAGAATTCTCATACAACAAAACAAATACCTACCGCCAAAACCTCTTTTTTTGGCAGTTATCAGTTCCCAGACAAAATAAGCTATTGCCAATAATAAATGAATACAAACTCAAATCTCTCATATGCTTAAACACAGATTATCGTTTACGTAGATCAAGCTAGTTTTAGATACTACTTAAGACCAACTCAGAGAATCCACCAGTCATACCTCTAACGTACTATGGGTATCCTAAACGATTCCAATTCAAACAGCTAACATAAAACTAGTAAAGAGAAAAATTACAAGAAATGTTAAATCCTGAACCCTGGCCATGAAAAACTTAATACAAAATAAAATACATTAAGCGACATAAGGAACGCTCCCTGAGAATACATAGAGACAAAAGATAAAGAAAGGAAAAGAAACTTTCAATTTAAACACTAAAAACGTATATTGACAATCACCGAATGATCTTAGTTCAAGACCTGATTTAAGTGTCCCCAAAAAACAACCAAAAATTACCTATGAATGTCGCCATAGAGAGCCGGAATTATCGCAAACCACATTCATGTGCGAGAAGTAGGGTGGAGAGAAGAAGTGTAGTCGCTTGTTAACCGCGGTAAGAGTTAGAATCGGGTGTGAGAAGGAGGATAGAAAGGAAAATGCAGCTTGGTTCTACACCGTGATGAGAATACGCCGGCAGAGGATTGCTTCTCTCAGAGATGAACGCTGCTTCAGAGGAAGAATGGTTCACAGACTAAAGTTATCGGTTCGGTGGAAGCAATTGGGACTCAGAGGCAGAGAGGAAAAAGAACGGAACGTACGAAGAATTGCTCTCCGCAGTCGGCGGCTTGAAGGGCAGCGTTCTTCCCTAGCTTGTAGAAAAAACTGCATGGTGACATGTTTTAAGCTGAAACAAGCCAAGCCAAGCCAAAGCCACAGCCGATTATCACCATTCTCTACTACGAAGAATTTAGTTTATTAAAATGAAATTTGTTAATTGAAGTAATGAATGTATTATGTAAGTAGAACAAAAAAATATTTTAATTAATTTATTATATTTGTATTAATACTTAAAAGCAAAATTTTTCTATTAAAATTGAAAATATTTAACTAAAAATTTATTAAAATATTAAACACAAATTTTTGTTTCTATTTATTTAGATACCCCTCATTTTTTTTTATATTTACATTTATCTCCACACATTAAATTTGGGATTTCCATTTTTATTATCGTCGTCGTCCCTCTAACCCTTTGTTTCGATCATGGTGAATGGTAAAATTTTAATTTATAGTATTTTACGAGCGTGAGAAAATCATATTTGTTTCGACTTTCAATTGTAACAAATGGTATTTAACTGATAAATTTAGAATAAATTTTTAAACCACTGAATTGATGGTATGTGACCGAAATGCTATTTTTTTTCTCTTATACTTCATATAATATAATTAATTCTATTTTTATCCTCACAATTAAAAACTCTATTTTCTCTTTTTCCTCAATTAAGCCGCACGTAGGGAGGATGAACAGCTCCAATGTTCTTCTTCTCCAATCAATATTTGCTTGTTTTTCTGTGTTCTTCACCTTCTCGATTAGTATGTATTTTTGTATTTTTTTATTTTTTTAGCATGTATTTCTTTCGTTTTTTCTTTGATTTGCATGTATTTCTTTCGTTCTTCACCTTCTAATCTTTTCTAAACAATATTCTTCTTGGTTATGATAAACTTCATCTGTTTATTTTTTTTTCTTTTTTCAAAGCTTGAATTTGTGGTGGAAGAGGAATTATTAACCAGTGTTATTTTTGCAAGTTCATATATTTTTTGTTTAAGAACTTAGCATTTTAAGAACTTTTACCAGAAATCCTTGCATGAGTATACTCCATTCTTGAAATGATCGCTTAGGTTAGTCAATCCGGCCCTACACACCTTCATTGATAAAATCACCATTGGAATTGAGATCTTTCTTAGAAGGCTAAAGCATTTAAAGCTGGACTGGAGAATATTCAATGCCTAGTTTGAAATTATCCTAGAAATGACTCTTTTGCTACAGAAGAGAAAAGGCTAACTGTGAAGTATAGAGAACTCAGTATAGCTGAAGAATCTTTTTTCAAGCAAAAGTCAAGAATTTCTTGGATAGATTTTGAAGATCAAAAGAGTGGCACCTACTAAAATAGTAAGCTCCAAAAGATAAAAAAAAAAAAAAAAACTATTAGGAACTCTTTATAGCATAGCTCTGATGGCAGAATGAGGAGTTCAAATTCAGAATGAAGTTATGGCTTTCTATCAGAACAGAACCTGCTAGGGAAGTTTGATGAAGATCTTTCATGGGGGATAAATTTCTTATTTCAAAAGCCTATTACAGATAGAAATTCTTTCATATTGCAGAGTGTAACGACCCCAGAATTTCAAAGAATAATCATAAATTAAGTGCGGAAGCGAAATAATTAGTTAGAGTTTACATTCTTTACACAATAACTTAAAGTACCCAAGTTGGACTACAGGAATGATTATTTTGAGATAAATACGAGAAATTAAAGAAATAACCAGAAAATAAATAAAATTTGCATCCTACTCGCAACCCTCTTGTGGATTGGACTCTAAATCTTAATCCTCTTGATTTGAAATGGTTAATAAAAAAATGAGCTACATTGGCCCAGCAATAATATTACACTATTCACCGATACAAAAATGAAAGTTGATAGAAATAATAAAAACAACTAATGGAGCTCTTAATTTAGAAAAATTATTTATCATAAATAAAATCATTTACTGTTTATTTATCGTAACGAGATTTACAAAATAACTTATAAAGACAATAACATAACACATCTCATTATTTCATATGCAATTGGTTGGAACAATAATTTTCTCTTTTATCAGCCTACTAGTATCCATGGGGGTTCATAAGGATGTTCACACAACGCGTGAACTATTTCATTTAATATTTCCAATTAACAGGTCGTCTCTATACCCCGTCTGGTATGAGCGTCAAATTACTAAACTTCAATACTCTGTCTGGTATGAGAGTGAAAAGGGTTGTCCCCATACCTCGTCCGATATGAGCACCAAATTACCAAGCTTCGATAGCTCATCCGATATGAGGCAATGTTTACAGTAGGGTTCTCTATGTAACCGGTCCGTCCACCATCTTCTAGGATATCCAGTAAGGTTGTCGTTTCATCCATTTACTTAATCACACAATTTTTCATTTACCTTTACTCTCCAATTTTCCAATTCAATCGTAATCACATAAAATAAACCAAACATGCATGAGAGAATATAATCACATCCCAATTCTCAATTCAACTATAATCACATAAGGCAGCAATACATGCATTTAAAATTATAAAATCAATCAACAGATATTATCATACATCCAAACTGCAAAATAATTCAACAGAAATCAATAGTGAATAATTTTCAGTTCTGACTCCATTAGTAACGCGTAATTAATTATGGATATTTTCTAAATTGCACAAAAAAATACTGTATTTTTGTTAATTTGACCTTAATTTCCATAACAGAGAATAGAGTAATGGATTCTTACCCAAATTAATGTCCAAAATATTAAACTTGTTAACTACGCCTAATGGCAGTCCTCGGGTTCCCTGAATTTTTCTTCAGAGATTAAAAACGCGCTATAAGTACTTACGAATATCCCAAAAAATCCAAAATCAGTGTCGGGGCCTCTATTTATCCAATTCTAAAATTTTGACACGGCGGTTCCGCTGTGCTCTAGCGGTGGTTTGCCTCGGATCAGTTATTTTCGACCGTTTTTAGCCGAATTTATCCGATTTTGCATCAATCATTGCGAGAAAATACGGTAAGGGGTCTCGGTTGGCCAAAAAAAATGAAAAATCGAAACTCACTGGCGGTAGGGTTCTCTGGTGCGGCGGCTCTGCCGGCTCACCTTTACTGTTGTATGTTTTTCTTCGGTCAACCTGTAGAGAAGAAAACAGTGATTACAAGTGTTAAGGGTTAACGGGTAACGGGACCCCTATGGATCCCCATGGATACTAGTGGGCTGGTAAAAGAGGAAAAATATGTTGTGTAACGATTGAATTACAAAAGGCTTGATAAGTATTATGTTATACAGTTCATATATGATTTCATGATGATGATAATGTTATTGCTTTCGTATACTGTTTTATGGATTTCATCGAGGTAAGTGGATGGTGAAGGATTTATTATTGATAAAAGAATTTGTTGTAAATTATGCTCCATTGGTCTTTTTGTGTTTTCTACCCACCTTTACCTCCGTGACGGTGAGATATCGTGATGTCTTTACTGGGCTAGTGTAGCTCATTCCTTATTTAATCATTTCAGATCAAGAGCACATCGTTCCCGAGCCGGTTCCGCAGGAGGACGACGAAGGGGACGCCTAAAGACTCCATAGTCATATTCGTAGCTTTTACTTTCAAGTTTCTCCTTTAGGTAGTTTGATCTTTTGTATTTTGTGAGCACATTTTTGGTTTTAGTGTAAGGGATGTTATTCAAATTTTAACTTCGCTTCCGCATTTGATATTTTTAATATACATTTCATTTTAAATTTCTGAGGCTGTTACATTTATAGTTTTGACGCCCATACTGGACGGAGTATGGGGACGTCCTTGGAATCTGATTACAAGTGTTAAGGGTTCACGGGTAGCGGGATCCCTATGGATCCCCATGGATACTAGTAGGCTGGTAAATGAGGAGAAATATGTTGTGTAATGATTGAATTGCAAAGGTGTGGTAAGTATTATGTTATACAGCTCATATGATTTCATGATAATGATAATGTTACTGCTTTCGTATATTGTTTTATGAATTTCACCGAGGTAAGTGGATAGTAAAAGATTTTATTATTGATAAAAGAATTTGTTGTAAATTATGCTCCATTGGTCTTTTTGTGTTTTCTACCCACCTCTACCTCCATGACGGTGAGATAGTGTGATGTCTTTACTGGGCTGGTGTAGCTCATTCCTTATTTAATCATTTCAGATCAGGAAGACATTGTTCCCGAGCCCGTTCTGCAGGAAGACGGCGAAGGGGACGCCTGAAGACTCCGTAGTTATATTTATAGCTTTTATTTTCGAGTTTCTCTTTTAGTTAGTTTGTTCTTTTATACTTTGAGCACGTTTTTTGTTTTAGTGTAAGGGATGTTAATCAAATTTTTATTCCACTTCCGTATTTGACCTTTTTAATACACATATTTCATTTCAAAATTCCGGGGCCGTTACATTTTATATGTGTTTTAGATAATGACTAAGAGGAACATAAATGCAGACACATGAAGTAAAATGATCCACTGGTCATATCATATGGATGACGTCTTAGTAAATTCGTTTTATAATCAACATTTGTACGATCATAGATCAGGTGGGACTATTACATCACACACTATTGACTATGTACGTGAAGAAGTAAGGAATACATTTCCAAATCTGGACATTGATAAAGTGCGTGTAGCACCCGGAAAGGAGGAGAAAAAAAAAAAAAAAAGAGGGCGGCCACGTCAGCAGCCACGTCAGCAGGCCCAGTCAGCAGTCCCGGCCAACCAGGGCCTGCCACGTGGCAAGACCGCGTCACTCCAAAAGGAGCCACGTTGGCGATCCGCGTGGGTGCGATCCGACGGCCCAGATCAATCACGCGATCGGACGGCCCAGATTCAATCGCACGGACGGCCCAGATTCAATCAAAAACGAACGGCCCAGATTAAAACAAAATGAACGGCTGTGATCAAAAGGCAAGGGGTTATAAATAGAACCCCCACACCAGACCACAAACCCTAGCCGCCAGCCGCTCGCCGGAGAAGACGAACCAGAGGCCGACCGCCGCCACCCGCCGCCACTCGCCGCCGCACCGGGGAAATTTCCGACCGTCGATCGAGGTAAATTTCATACCCCCGACTCGTTTTTCCCCACTGATTCCTCCTATGGCCAAATCGAAACCGAAATCCCGGCCAAACGGCCGGAATACGCGGCCGAAGCCCAGCGGCGCCGCCGCGCCCCCTCTCGGTTTTTGCCTCCGACGAGGCCCTTCCCGGCCTCCGTTCGATGCAATTTTTATATCACCGTGATCACCATTCTTTTCTCTACAGGTTGACCGGAGCCGAATCACCAAAACACGAACCTCGCCGGAGAGCCGCTGCACCCGAGAGCGCCGCCGCCGGTAAGCTCCGTTTTTCCGTGATTTTTTGGCCCCCCGAGGGCCCTAGGGCTGTTTTCTGACAAGGACCAATGCGAGTGTGGCCGAATTCGGCCGAAAACGGCCGAAAACAGTCAACCCGAGGCGACTCGCCGCCGCCAGCGGCGGCGCCGTCGCCGGAGCACGGCGGAGCCGCCGTGCCGGAGTTGCGATTTGGGCCGAAGGAGGCCCTGGGCCTAATTTGGATTTTTTTTGGAATACGTGCAGGTACTGTTAGTGTGTTTCAGTTTCCCGGGAAAAATTCAGGGAAAATTAGGGACAGCCTGCAGGCGCACTGTGAATCGTATTCGGATCCCGAAAACAGGTAAGGACCCCTCACCCTATTTCCTATCACGGTATTAAAGTTCAAAATGATAAAACGGTATTTCTTGAATTAACGCATGTGTGAAATTGCTTAAGGTTGCTAATGGAGCCTGAGTCTAGTGTGATTGATGATGTACTGTTATTTGGCCTGTTTACAGCTTTAAATGCAAAGTGAGGTTTGATGTGTTCATTTTACAGATTTGTGTGCATGTACTACGTTTTTATTAATTATGGGTTGAATGACTGAAAAACTGATATTGTATGTTGTCTGTTGGTATGAATTACGATTTGCTTGTTTAAATGTGAATTGATGATGTTGATTGAGGAAAAGGAAAATGAAAGATTGTATAGACTGATAATTGTATTATGGGGGTCAGCCTGACTAGATATCCTGGGAGATGGTGGACGGACCGGGTCCGTAGGGAACCCTACCGGGATTGTGGCCTCACATGCCGGACGGGGTATGGAGATCTTATGGTTTTGGCGCCCATACCGGACGGGGTATGGGGACGGCCCGTTTCACCCTCATACCGGACGGGGTATTGAGGTTTATGGTTTTGGCGCCCATACCGGACGGGGTATGGGGACGGCCCGTTTCACCCTCATACCGGACGGGGTATTGAGGTTCATGGTTTTGGCGCCCATACCGGACGGGGTATGGGGACGGCCCTGGAAACTGATTATGAATGTTAAAGGTTAACGGGTAGCGGGACCCCTATGGACCCCCACGGATACTAGTAGGCTGGTAAATGAGAAAAGGATATGTTGTACAATGATTGAATTACAAGAGGCGTGATAAGTGTTATGTTTTACAGCTTAGATTATTCAATGATTATGATGATGTTATTGTTTTTCTCATATTGTTTTCATAAATTCCACCAAGGTAAGTGGATGGTAAAAGTTTTATTATTGATAAAAGGTTTTATTGTAAATTATGCTCCATTGGTCTTTTGTGTTTTTCTACCCACCTTTACCTCCGTGACGGTGAGATATCGTGATGTTCTTACTGGGCTAGTGTAGCTCACTCCTTATTTAACCATTTCAGATCAGGAAGACATGGTTCCCGAGCCCGTTCCGCAGGAGGACGACGAAGGGGATACCTAGAGACTCTGTAGTCATACTCATAGTTTTATTTTCGAGTTTCTCTCTTAGTTAGTTTAATCTTTTATATTTTAAGTACGTTTCTGGTTTTTCGTGTAAGGGATGTTAACTGAAATTTTGATCTCGCTTCCGCATTTGATATATTTAAATACTCATTTCATTTTAATATTTACGGGGCCGTTACAGTGCGTATACACAACCACATAAAAAATTTAAAAAGATAACTCTCAAAATATTATGATATTTTCAAACATGGAATGAGTGGTTTTTCTTGGAATCCAATAACTAAATGATTTGAAGCAGAAGAGGAAGTTTGGGAGCAACTAATAAAAGTAAATCTCTTACTTTATCATATGTTGTTTGCCATTTTTTTTATTGTTCAAATAGTAATATACTTATTTATGCTAGGCTCAACTTGAAGCAACAGAATTGAAAAACAAACACGTGCGAAATTACGAGAAAATGTTAGAAATGTATGGAAGAGATAGAGCTAGTGGATCTACAAGTAAGACATCCCTAAACCCTTGAAGACAAAGGAAGAGGAATGGTGATGAACATGGTCTGAATGCTACAAGTGAGACACCAATTACCCAAAATTTAAGCGGTAATTTTAATTTTTATGGTCTGAATAGTTCATATGAGGCTCTAACACCCAAAACTCCTACTTCAAAATCCGAATATGAAGTGCAAGAGTCTTTAATGCGAAAGAAAGCGAGACGTTTGACAACGGTCTATGAAAAAGAATATCTGGCTGAAGTTTGAACTATTTCAAATTCAGTTAATGAAATATTAACAATTTCAAAAGCACATATTTCAACAGAAGAGCTATATAAAGAGGTTTCTCGTATGGAATTAGATCCCTTTCTAGAAACAAAAGCTTTTATGCTGCTTATGGATAAACCAAACATGGCTAAAGCTTTAGTGACTTGTCCCCTTGATTGGTGTAGTTTTTTATGACCAATTTGCTTAATTTACCAGGTAATGATTAATGTCACATGTTAAGTTCGAATATTTTTTATTTGTTATTTTGTTGGTTTTGATTTTTTATTTTCTTCGAATTTTCAGATAATTGAAAATAGAGGTTGTTGTTGTCGAAATGCAAAACTATATTATGGTTTTATGAACCTTTGTCAAACTGATGTTTAATGTTTAATAGATGAATATTATTATTTTGATCGACTAATTTATGTTTTGGATTGATTAATTTATGTTAAATAGATTAATTTCTTTTATCTTTCTTTACTTGTTTGTAGACAGTATTTTATATTTTTGAAGTAGTTTTGGTTTATTGTGTTATTTGTTTAATTCTCAAGTAATTTAGTAAAAGACTATAAATATTTTTATATTATTTAATATGAATACCAAATATCTATATATATATATATGTACTGTACATTTTTGTTAAAAAAATAAATTTAAAATTTTGAAACTAATAAAAAAAATATAATTACACATATGAAATTTTATTAATAATTAATTTTTTTACATAATATTAATTATTAAATTAACTCATGATATATGATTATTTCAAGTACATTTTAATTTTTTATTTGATAATTTTAAATTTAATGTAATAATATATAATTACAACAATTTATCTTTAATATATAAATAAATTTATTTTTATTAAAATTAAATTAATGCGATAATATAAATAATAATAATTTATTTTATTAAATATAAAAATTTAATTTAATTATGTATAATAATTATTTATTTAAATATAAATATAATTATATATTTTTTTATTATTAAATATGAATACAAAATATTTATATATATATATATGTATATATATACTGTATATTTAAAAAAAATAAATTTAAAAATTTGAAACTAATAAAAAAATATTATTGTACACATAAAATTTTATTGATGATTAATTTTTTAAATAATATTAATTAATAAATTAAATTATGATATGTAATTATTTTAAATATATTTTAATTTTTTATTTATAAAAATAATTTTAAATTTAATATAATAATATTTAATTATAATGATTTGTTTTTAATATATAAATAATATTATTTTTATTGAAATTAAATTAATATTATAATATAAATAATAATTATTTATTTTATTAAATATAAAATTTTAATTTAATTATATTTAATAATTATTTATTTAAATATAAATATAATTATATTAATAAATAATTTATTTTTTTATTAATATATATATTTAATATTATTTAATATTATTGAGTAAATTAATAATTTAATTAAAAATATAATTATATTATCTTATTATTTAAATAAAAATATTATATTAATATATTATTTTAAATATAAATTTTTTTTATCATTTTAATTTTACGTTATTATTATTTAGTTATTATTATTATTATATATTAATTAATCATTATTAAAATTTATTTTCTGTCGTGTCCTCCAAGTCCCGTTCAGTTCGATTGGACTCCGTTTAAAGCAAGAACAGCTTGGTTTCAGTTTTGGAAAATATAATTGTATTTTAGTATTTTTTATTTAAAAAATTTGAGCAAACAAGTTATCTAGGGTTTTCTAAGGATTTATCTGCCACTATACTGCCACCGAGAATGGCTACGAGCGGAATTCGGCCGGAGTCTCTATCGGCCGCAGGCCGTTTATCCGAGAAGCTGAGTTTACCGTCTCTACAGTCAAAGATGAAGTGCGACCCCGAAGGCTATTTGTCGGAGCTCAACCTCCTCTACGGCCAATTCAAGACAGGACTCGATCTTTTCCAGCAGCAAGCCGCTCTCAGCTTTTCTTCTGTCAGTGGCATAGGCGCTGACCCAACTGTCTCCAAGGACCTCGGCGACCGTTCCATGTTTCTTGCCCATGTCGCCCCTTTTTACCCCAATCAACTCGCGCATTTCCCGCTTCAACTTGCCGACTTTCTCCGCAGTTCCGCCCGTACAATGCCATCTGGGCTCCGCTATCACGTCTTGCAAGCTCTCATTCTTCTCATCAATCGAAAGGTATTGTATTTGTATAATATAAATTGAAAGTTTACAGCTTTGCGTTGTTTAGTTGCTTGCAGATTTCTTGCTTGAATACTGACTGCAAAAAAATGAATTGGTAATCATAATAAACAGGAGCTCCTGAGAATTTTGAGTTTTGCTGAATTAGGTTTGATTCTGTAATTAAGTAGTGATATCAAAGATGAAGATTTCTCCCTATTTTTGACCAGTTACTAAGTGGAAAGTTTTTTGTCACTATATTAATGTTTTACCCGAATGTTTGTGTGCTAGATTATCGGTATACAGGAAACTCTATCCTTGTTCTTGGAGATTCAGACTCTAGGAGATAGGAATACGAGGAAATTGGCATTTTCGCATGTTATTCATAACATTCGGCGGATGAATCAAAAGCACAGGAACGAGGCTAAGAACCGGGCACTTCAGAATGTCTTATTTACGATGCTACAGGTTCTAAAGGCTCACATATTTATGACTATTTTGTTTATGATTTTGTTTTCCGTACTTTTAATCGATATTGCTTTCTTATGCATTTGTAGGAAGAGGATGAAGGAAGAGCTAAGAGATCACTTGTTACATTGTGTGAGTTACATAGGAGAAAGGTGTGGGTTGATGATAGAACAGCAAATGCTATTTGTACAGCTTGTTTTCATTCGTCATCAAGGTATGTAATCTTTTGGGTGTTCGATGTGTCAGTTCTGCTCATCAGCTTATTGAAGTCCTTTTAAGCACGTTTAGCTCCTCAGGATCATGATTTCTGCTCTAGCGTTTCTTCTTGATTATGAAAAGATTGAGGATATTGATGAGAGTGATGCTTCAAGTAGCGACGATGAAATGACACCTCAAGCACCACAAGTTGCCATAAGCAAGGAGGCAGTTTATAAGGTCCATTGTATTCTATAACTTGATATCTTTCAAATCTTTTCGACTCTCATTTTGCTGAATGAAACAAAAGGAAGGCTTCCGTATTGTTGTGGATATGATCCTTCTTAGGCTCAGATGCTCTTAAGAACAGCTGCATTTAAACTTATGAATTCATAGAACTATCTGATATATTCAGTTCTGAACGTCTTTTGTGCAAGTTTTTGGAAGTAGTTCTGCTCCTAGTTTCAAATAATTTGTGGATGCATATGTTTGATTTACGTATTTGTATTTTCTCATGAATTTTAGGCAAATCATAAGGGTACAGCTGCTAGCAAGAAAAAAAAGAAAGCAAAACTGCAGCGTGCCATTCGTAGCATGAAAAGACAACAACGTCTGTCAACAGAAAAGCAAAATGCAAGCCATTACTCTCCTCTAAACCATCTAAAAGATCCACAGGTATGTTAATTTTTTGTTTTACTTAAGAAGTACTTGCTGTATCTTCTCTGTTGAAATATCAGTTCTTTACAGGGATTTGCTGAGAAGCTATTTTCTCGTCTCCAAACATGCAATGAACGTTTTGAGGTGAATATTCCATGTTATTTTTTTTATTAAGACAAATCTATGGGTATTGTCTCAAATATAGTGTCTTATAGTTTTTTTTTAAATAAAAAATATAGTGTCTTATGGTAAATTGATTGTTGTGCTTGTTCTTTTCTTTCCTGCCAATCTAAGTTCTCTTGGCAAGAAAATTGTTAGATATCTTGGGGTATTAAAGCTAGGGGATTATATCTACAGTTATTTGATATCTTAGGGTATTGAGGCTAGGGAATTACACTTACAGTAGTACCCAGATTTCTTTTTTTTTTTTTTTAAAATAAGTAGTACCCAAATTTCTGGGTTAAACATAAGGAAAAGGAGTTAAGAGTATCTTCTATAAGGAGAGAGTTACAAGGAAAAAGTTGATTCAACCTGCTTTTCTGAAAATATTTATGGCCACACTATATGTTTTGGAATATAAGCTAAACTTTTTTCAATATCTTCTCTATCCTATTAATCTTTCTGCATAAGGGTCTTCCTACATGTTATGTTGTGGGTCAATACCAACAACTTCGACACAAAAAAAAGAACTGACTTTAATTATATATATTCTAACATATTCATATCATTTTCCCTTTTTGAAAAGGTTCAGATACAGAAGATTATCCTGTAATAAAGCAAGTTTTAAGTCATTTCCTATTAATCAGTTCTGATGACTGTATAACTTACTTTGACTTTGTTAACTTTCAGGTTAAAATGATGATGTTGAAAGTGATTGCTCGAACAGTTGGTCTGCACCGTTTGATATTACTAAAGTTTTTTCCTTTTCTTCAGAAATATGTTCAGGTATAGTATTTGACAATTACCTTGAAGTTGTCTTTTATTCCTTCTTGAAAGTTGACTAAATTTGTCCCAATATGCAGCCCCATCAACGAGATATAACAAATTTATTAGCAGCAGCAGTTCAGACCTGTCATGATATGGTATATAGACTTCACTTCCAGCATCTGGATTTCAAGCTATAGTTTTTTCTTTTCGGCATTGTTCAAGTATCCAAATTTTAATATTGTTCTCTAATTTTAATTCTATAATTCTTCTCTTTCTAATTCAAGCATTCTTTTTGAACAGGTGCCTCCTGATGCAGTTGAGCCATTATTCAAACAAATAGTGAATCAATTTGTACATGATCGTTCACGTACAGAGGTTTTGCTACTGAGCTTTGTTAGACTAATAATGTGTATTTATCACCAGTGAATTTATTTTTAAATATTTTTATTTTTACTTGCCAGGCCATTGCAGTTGGGCTGAATGTGATAAGGGAAATATGCATGCGCATGCCTTTGGTAACTATCTAATTTTATGTGCTTTTTGTTCCGATCTGTTCACTAACTTGATGATTTGAAATATGCATCTTCTAACCTGACTTTTTTTCTTTTTTGAGAATCTTGTAATATCATTATGTAAAAAAAATGCTATTTCAAAGAAATATGGGGAAGCAAACTGGGTGGTATCTCATGAACCACATAATGACCATTCTTAACAGATAACTCTAGCCAAGGTGTGAGCAACGACATTACAATATCTAGGAATCCAAAAGGATGCAAAAACAATGAAAAACTGTCTTGAAAAATGAACATCCTCTAATAGCAAATTAAATTCAGAACTCGAAAGGGAAAGTAGAAAAAAGATGCTTATAAACATTCTGCATTTATGTTAAGATTAATAATTTGTTTATGGCTTCTAGTTGATGACAGAAGATCTATTGCAAGATCTTGTTTTATACAAGAAATCACACGAGAAGGCAGTGTCAGCCGCAGCTCGGTCACTTATTGTCTTGTTTAGAGAGGTAGAAAACAGACTTTTTATGATTGCCTTTACATCCTTATCTTGCTGCTCAATCTCAAAAGAGCAATTTTGTTCTTTGCTTTCAGGTCTGCCCTTCTCTTCTGGTTAAAAAAGATCGTGGACGGCCTTCTGACCCAAAAGCAAGGCCAAGAGCATTTGGAGAAGCCAATGTCTGTAGTAGTGTTCCCGATGTTGATTTATTACAGCACAGTGGTGAAGATGAAGATGAATATGAAGATGAAAACGAGAATAATGAAGGTGGGGATGGCGATGCTGATGAATCCAGTGGCACTGACATTGATCAAGACGGTGATGAAAATTTTGCTACCAAAGATGAAGAAAACTGGGTATACAGTGATGGTACTGGAAGTGAGGATGATGATGAAGATAATGCCCTAGATGATGATTCCATAAGTGAAAATAGCATCAATGAAGATGACAGTGATGTTAGTGGTGATAATGTTAATGAGGAAATGGAGGATGGGAAATCTGAGATGGAGGAAGATGATGAGGAGGGGGATGAAGAGAATGAGGCAGTAGAGGCTGAGATGGAGGGCCAAGAAGAAGCGAACAGTTCTGATGAAATAAATGACAATGGAAGTAGGGATGATGGGCTTGCTGCAAAGCAATCTAAATCAAAAAAGAGGAAGGTCTCTGATTTTAGTGAGCAACTTCTGACTGCAGAGGCAAGTCTGCAGGCTCTCAAGAGATTGGCAAAAGCAAAGATGGGGCGTCCATCTTCAGACTTAACTGATGGAATTCTTTCTAACGAGGACTTCCAGAGGATTAAGGAATTAAAGGTGTGTTGAGAAGACTATCTGTTTCTAGGGGAAACTTGTTTCCCAATAACCAATACTTCATGGTCACATCTTGGCATATAAAAGATGTCTCACTTTCTCCTTCATGATGTATTGCCAGGCAAAGAAGGAAGCAAGGTTTGCTTTGGCTCAGCAAGGATTTAAAGTTCCAAGTTCAGATCAATTGAGTTCCAAACGTGTTGATCCTACGAAGCTTGAGGTAAGCCTTCTTTATCTTTGCTGATTATGATTCCCATTTTTAATTTTGCTTGTGTGTTGATGTTATTGAAAAAGGACAAAACTGAATACCTTATGTTGGAACGTGGCTGATGGAGAAAAACTTTTTTTTTTTTATAATCTTACAAAAAGGATTCCTTTTGGATTGATTTATAGGAAAAACATTGATAGGACAAAACTCAGTTGGAATAGTTAAGCTATGTTAGGTTCATGAATAAATTGGGAGCGAATTGTCATACCTGCGGATATGAAGATATTTTATGTGCATGTACTATGATTTAATGGCCATTTTTCTCTCATATCTACAAGTTCCTTTTTTCTTTGATCCAAGGTTTCTCTTTAATTTCTTTGCTCCTTGGAAAGGATATTTGCTTCTTAAGTTTCATAAAATCCTTGTGTGTCTGTTCAGGCTCATATTAGGCATAAGCTAAGCAAGGAGGAAAGACTGGCATTAGTGAGAGCAGGTAGGGAGGATAGAGGGAAGTACCAGGCTCGGACTGCAATAAAACAGAAGAAGGTATGGTGCCAAAAGCAAACAATTTTGTCTATGGGTTTAAGTTTATATTTCCTAATGCATATATGGATTGCATTTCTCCGATTTAAGATTTACAGAAAGTATGGTTGCAATGCTTCTAAGACCAAACCTTGATATGTTGGGTAATAAATCATAACATGTTGAGGTGCTAACTTATTTTCAATATATGTACATATTTACCACAAATACAGACTGGTGGTTTAAGCAATCGTCAAAAGGAACATAAGAAGCTCATGCCACTTGCTGCAAAGAAAGCCAAGGTTGCAAGATCGCGGCAAGAGAAAGGTAAAAAACAGCGGCGCGGTGGAAAACAGTTTAGAGGGAAGAAAGCATGGAAATGATCGAGGCTTATGTGCTGAAATTAGTCTTTTTACTTTTGTTCTTTGTCGGCTGAAATTTTGTTCCCCTGCTTACAGAAACATGATTAAATAGTTTGGTTGTTTTATAACCGAAAAAAACATGATAGCGTTTATTCACTCTGGTTTCAATGGAAGGTTTGCTCTGCAGATTAAAGTTTTACCTGATCTGAACACAGCGAACTGCCAACTCTTATTCAAGTTTATTAAAGCAATTAATAGTTTTGTAATCAAAGCAATGAATTAAGTACATAAATTGACTGATCATTAAATGATTAAACCAGTCTTAAGGTTTTTGGAGTTGGGTGACATGGATGTCATTCTTTAGTAAAATATATTACTTACAGAAACACTAAACTCAATAATGAAATATTTATTTACGTGTTAAAGCACTCAACTCGTACCTCTGATAAAGTCTTTATGCCCTTTTCTTGCTCTTAAAAAGAGATACCAAATTAAACTTTGAAAAGCAAAAAAATTAATTAATTAATTAATTAAATAATAAGAGTTTTTTTTTTTTTTAAATAATTTAACGAGGTAAAACCCATTAATTTTTATTTTGGATCTATTATTTAAAATTCAAGAACACAAGTCAATTTAAGGCATGTGTTAAATGAAAAGTCATTAATTTTGAAATATACGATTTCAATGTCTTTTCACTACTATAAATCAATTTGGTGCAAAATGAAAAGTAAAAGTTACTTTATCCAAATATAAAAATCAAAAAATTAAATCGACTTTAAATTATTTAGTATCTCAACAAAAAAAAAAAAAAAAGAAAGAAAAAAAAAAGAAGAAACATAAATTGAAAAATGATTTTATTAGCAAAACAAAGAACAAGATAGAGTTTACTCCAAACTTGAAATGAAAAATATTTTACCAAATAAAAGTGTAAATCAGAAATACACAATTGTGGTTATAAATGGATAACGTTTATTTACAATCTTGGATAAATAAATGCAATT